CGGTGTCAAATTATAGAGATATCATGATGTTACATTGTACTTGTATTAAGTTACAAGTCGTGTGTAAATATAGTTCTGTAGATACACTGTCGCTCATAAAGGTGGAATATTTTAGTTTTACCCCAATTTATGAAATTATTTTAAAAATTATTTAAAAATAATAGATCTAGATAATAGTATACATTCTCAGATTTCATTGAATAATAATTTGCCAATGTGTGTTTTGCGGGACTGCTAAAGCATGTGTATGCTACTATACTTATTAACTAGGGAACCTATGCCCTTAAGTCATAAATGACAGTAATGAGGATTAATGCCCCACAAAAGGGCACTAATATAGCACATCGCCACGGTTTTGATCCTGGGGCCTCACAGTTACGAGGCCATAGTTTTGTCACTGAACCATGACTGTACGCAGCTGGGGCTAGGGTAGGGGGCAGTTTCCATAAATTAAAAAAAAACAGAAAATGCAATAAGTTTTCAATAATTTATTGCATTTTACCCCGGTCCCCAACATAAAAAATCCTCTGGATGGCCATGCATTATGGCACAAGGCATGGGCACACAGAAGATTTTTTTTATGCTGGGAACCGGGGTAAAAAGCAATAAATTATTGAAAATTTATTGCGTTTTCTGTTTTTTGTTTTAATGGAAACTGCCCCCTACCCTAGCCCCCGCTGCGTACAGTCATGGTTCAGTAACAAAGCAATGGCCTCGTAACTGTGAGGCCCCAGGATCAAAACCGCGTCGATGTGCTATTTTAGTGCCCTTTTGTGGGGCATTAAGCTTCTTTACTGTCATTTATGACTTAAGGGCATAGGTCCCCTAGTTGATAAGCATAGTAGCATACACATGCTTTAGCAGTCCCGCAAAACACACATTGGCAAATTATTATTCAATAAGATCTGAGAATGTATACTATTATCTAGATCTATTATTTTTAAATAATTTTTGAAATAATTCCATCATTGGGGTAAAACTAAAATATTCCACCTTTATGAGCGACAGTGTAATTTAATTTCCAACTAGATCTTACATTAAGACAAGTAAACTGCGTTCATCAGTAGAGACCAGGCGCAAGGTCGATCAGGAGACTCTCCTGGCTATTTGAGAGACAGTCTCCTATATTAGAGACTTGCATACAAAAAAAACTAAATAATCAATATCAACAACATGGCAATTTTTCCTCCAAAATATTTGCCTCTCTTAGGTCAGAAAGCCCATGCTTTTGTATATGGATCAAAACGATAACAAAATGTTATGAAAACAAACGTAGATGGTAACGTTTTGAAATAGACAGTCAAAAGGAATACATTTTCAAGAGGAATATGCTCATCGTATTGATTTGAGCCACGGGTATCCATTTGCAAGAAATGTAATAAAGAAAATTGATATGAAAGATAGGAGACTTTCTCACGAGTCCCAAATGGGCTTCCAAACATCTTGAAGAAATTCTCCGACATTATAGTTTCCTAAATAGAAGATAGTCTTCCATATTTCAACCGTGCGCCTGTACTACTCATACAAATATGACCAATTTCTTTTTATTGTACTCGAGGATGTTAGGGTCTTTTTTATACACCAATCTAGATTATAGTTGAAACGTAAACAAAATATCATGAATTTCTATGTTCTGTTGATAAATAATAATTGTTTTTACATTTATGGAAATTGGAGACAAAAAGAAAGAAAAAGAAAAAGAAAAAAAAAAACGACTATAATCATGGACGGTTATGGTAATTGAGTGAAGGTGTGGGTCATGTGTTGCTTTGGCTAATTGCTTAACTAGAGGGTACGTGCCCCCCCCCCAAGAAAATTAATAATGATGATGCATACCAAATTAAATAGAAAAAACACGTGAGAGCGAAGGGAAAGATAAAAACAAAGGTAAATGCACGTTAAATAATATATATGACATTAGAAGATATCCTCGAAAATGTTCTTCAAAGATTTTGTGACTACAACTTTAACAGATTTTAATAAAGAAAAGGTACGATTTGTTTTGATATCGGGTATTTAACCTGTGAACCGAAACTGACTTTCGATGATTATCTTACGTTGATTTCCCTGTTATGATGCATTTAATCTCATTATATTTACTATCATTATTCATATGCTTTTAACATGCTTTAAACACAAATCAAAACAACCTCCCAAAACTGCTTGAAACCAAATAGGTTTCCTTGAGCCTATATTTATGATCTTATTAATTATTGTATAATTGATATGAGCATTCCCGTAAAGAACACTGCTTGACAAATTTGGGGTCCTTAATTGAATGAATTCCTTTTTTTCTCCAACAAACTAAACAAAAAAATGATGGTAGTTTCAAGCTCTAGGCTTGTATACACGCTCAAAATTGATAGTAAGAGCAATAATTGTGATGATAATGATAATGAATGTAGTACTAATTTCTAGGTTGGTAATGTAACAGTCATAAAACAGTATTTATTGTTAAAATTGATAGTCAAGTTTGGGGCTTGGAAATGCCCAGTGGCATTAGTTCACGTAGGTTATTGAGCAATCAGTTCTGTCGATATTATAATTTGGTTGCATGTAGATATAGATAGCTGGAAAAATATCGTTCGGTATTTTGTTAGAAGCACACGTTTGAAGGTTGAGGTAACAGATACTGAACAATTGTAAAGATTTATCTCACAGCGTATTGCATATCTTAGTTCTAAATCAATATGCGCGAAAATTGTGTCAACTTCTGTACATACACTAGTTCTGATGGAGGAGTAGCATATGATATATACTCGACCATTTCATGTTCATGTATATTGCAATATAGGGATGGTTAAATGAAAAAAACATAAACAAATATATATATACAGTTGTATATTGAAATATATATATGGTACAAACTCATGGGTAAGTATTTCTGTTAATATCTCAACAACAGACAGTTGTCGACGTGGTCGACACAAAGTTCACTTCCAGTTTATTTACTGAGGACATGTTTTATGTAATATAGTTGGTAAAGTTTAGTCAAGGCAAAACAGGGCTTACACGATTACTACTCACATAAATAGTTGACAAGGTATCAAGCAGTAATCACAAGTAGATGTTAGCTGAAGAAACCTCACATCTCCCTGGTAAAATTGTTTATTCAATTCTCGAAACATGCTTTTGGGTGATCATATCTGCGTCTTTGATGTAGTGTACAGCAGAGAAGAAACAAAAATGGAGATAGAAGTGAAAGATAGTAGACATACCGGGAAAAAAAGACAGAGTATGGACTTTGAATATTTTTTAAACAGATATATGGCGCCATACAGTGCTGTTCATTATCATCATCATTTTCTGTAAAGGGGCAAGGACTATTTGGCCTCCCGGCTTGGTCAATCTGCCCCCAGATAACTTGACATCTGGTACAGCGTCTTTCAAGAAATTGCCGCAAGACATATCTAGGAGTAACACAGAAACATTCGGTTATAAAAACATAAATTGATCGAATATGACTTTGATTTCATGTAAACCGTAGATTAGAAACCTAGAGAGTTCGTAATTTCATAAGGAAATCGCTCGCAACATTTGGAAGCGGGATGATTAAGGCGGCCAAGTGAATACCTCCATATACACTGTTGGTCATAATGGTGGAATAATTTTTTTAAACCTCAATTTATAGAATTATGTTGACAATGATTTATTCCTAATAGATCTAGTTAATAGTATACATTCTCAGATTTTATTGAATGACAATTGGGAAGTGTTTGTTTTGCGTGACTGCTAAAGCATGTGTGTGCTAAAATGATAATCAACTAGGTGACCTACGTCCTTAAGTCATAATTGACAGTAATGAGGATTAATACCTTATAAAAGGGTACTGATATAGCACATCGACCCGGTTTTGATCCTGGGGGCTCACAGTAACGAGGCCACTGCTAAGCCAATGAATCATGACTGTACGCAGCGGGCGCTAGGGTACGTCGCCGCCCCCACAAAAAACAAACAAACAAAGAAAATGCAATACATTTTCAATAATTCATTGCATTTTGCCCCGACCCCCAACATAAAAAAAAACTTCTATGTGGGCATGCCTTGACCCATAATGCATGGCCCTACAGAGGAAATTTTCCTGTTGGGGACTGGGGGAAAATGCAATGAATTATTTAAATTTATTGTATTTTCTTTGTTTTTTGCATTTTGTGGGGGCGTCGACGTACCTTAGCACCCGCTGCGTACAGTCATGATTCATTGGCAAAACCGTGTCGATGTGCTATATAAGTGCCCATTTAAGAGGCATTAATCCCAAATACTGTCAATTATGACTTAAGGACGTAGGTCCCCTACTTGATTAGCATTGTAGCACACACATGCTTCAGAAGTCACGCAAAACAAACACTCCCCAATTGTCATTCAATAAAATCTGAGAATGTATACTAGTATCGAGATCTATTAGGTATAAATCATTGTCAAAATCATTCAATAAATTGGGGTAAAAATAAATATTCCACCATTATGACCAACAGTGTATATGTGGGCAACGCCGCAACGATCGTGGAGCCCGAATTATACTTTTATTTGACAGCGAGGTAGCGTAACATATCATATTTCGGGGGATTTGGATGACTGAAGCTTTGAATTTTGAATTTCTTAAAAGGATGATGTGACAAAAAATATATATCTGATCTATATGACTACAAACTGCCCCCCACCCCCCATGACTGAGCCCACGCTTCGACACAGGCTAGTGCAGCCTTCTGGTTTGAACTGATAATGGGCAATCCAGCAATGATATCGTCACTAATTGTTACACACGTGCAAATCAATAAAAATAATGGGACAGTTTTGGTCTTGGATTTTATTTCTTTAGCAAGTAAAGAGATAAAGAAATACGCGCTCAATTCCAATAATTTGCAACAAAAAGTATAATTTGTTTTCCTTTTTTTCTTTTCAGACATATTGACGTTTCCATTTCTGTGTTTGTAATAAGTAGCTGAACTTTCTTGCTCACATTTCTCCGATAAGTTTATGCCTCTTTGACTGACGGTATTATGGCTAAAAGGATAGCACTACAGGTGCCTGAGAGTTTGGCATGTCCACTTTGTCTCGATGCCTTCAAGGCCCCCACCCTCCTCGCCTGTGGACATACATTCTGCAAGGTCTGTCTGGACAAATACGATTCACATCGCCGAGGTCAAGATTTCATGGAGTGTCCGGTTTGTAAGAAACGCACCAAACTGGACAAAAATAGAGTCGCAGGACTTGCACCCAATTTCTCTGTAAAAGGCCTCGAGGAAGAATTACATGTACATCTTAAGGTCAATGGAAAATCAGAGTTCTGTTCCCTGCACAGTCAAGTCTACAAAGACATTCTGTGTGCGGTTTGCAAGGAATTCATCTGTCTGACTTGTTTGTTTGATAAACATCAAGGTCACATGTTTAAGAAGAAGGAAGAGTTGGAAGCAGAGTTGAAAAAGGAAAGAAAGTCTGTCATTCTAAAAAGTGAGAAGAAGAAAGCACAGATCAAAAAGTCTATTACCAATGCTGAGCAACAAATGCATCGTATGTATTCTGATCTGGATAATCTAGAAGGAGAAGTTGATGGAGCCTTTCGTGAAAAGTCAGAGATTCTTCTAAGACACAAGGAAAGACTATCAAAACAAATCAATGACATCCGCACAAAATCTGGCAAGGAAATGACAGATTTCATTGGACGCCAGAAACACTCATTGCAGAGTATGAATGTAAAGTGCACTCTTATGGAACAAGAGGGCAATGCAAGCACTAGTACTTGTAAGGTTTCAGACTCTGATGCATTAAAAATGCTTTACATGGAATTCACAAGTATGAAACAGGACTTGGAGAAAGACCTCAACGACCCGTCCATAACGCAAGTAGTAATTGGGAACACCCGGTTTTGCCCATCTGATTTGAATGACATTGACCTAGGTACTCTCCACCATGACGCTAGCGAAAGCGAGGATGTTTCTGACCTAGGTTCTAACAACCCGTTTTGGAGTCCGTATTTTTTAGATTCAGATTCAGATTAATTTTATTGGTCCGTTTGGGAATTCAGTTGTTGGCATTTACGTAAAGCACATGAACAATACACAATAGAAAAAATATACACAAATAGATAATACTCAGTAGCACATGTACAATGACATATTCATATGAAAACACGGATACAAATTTTGTTTACATAGTGGAATATAGCGATCCTTATGATTAATGACCCTCAATTTGATTTAGGAATAGCGACCCTCATCTTAATTCTTTATGAATAGTGACCCTTTGCTCCCATTCTGAATAGCGGACCTGCAGGTATGGGAAGTTACGCGTTATGAATAGGTGTCCTTATGAATAGCGGTCCTTACGAATAACGGTCCTTATGGATAGCGAATAGACCTCTTCAGGGGGATCCATGGTACATGTTCTGCCGACAAATGCTCCGCAAAAATCATCAATTGCTCTGAGTCATTTGCTCTGCCGACAAATTGCTAACCCGGCATTTTTTCCGCCGACATTTGCTCCGCCGACAATTGCTCCGTCGACAATATTGCTCCTCCGACACCTCCGCCCCCAAAGTGCCATGTAAATTTCAAATGCTCCAACAATGCTCCTTCCTCAAAGTACCCCGTTGAATACAAATGCTCGGCCGACGTAGCAGGAGTGCCCCGTAAAATACAAATGCTCCCTTTTGCAACGAAAACAAGATAGGAAGAAAAGAAAAGAAAAGAAAAGAAAAGGACAAGAAAACATGGAAAACAAAAGGTCAAGAAAAGAAAAGGCTAAACACAAGGGGAAAGGGATACAACATAGAATAGAGGAAGATTTAATTTCCATATTTTTGCATTGGCCTAAAACTTTGTGTCGGAAGGGTGTCGGTAAAATTAATGATTCGCTAAACTCGTCCGCCAACATGGAATTAACAATAATTCTGAAATAATACTTGCCCATTTGATTCAAAAGGGGCGTAATGTAGAAAGATTCTATTCAAGATTATAACATATGATTTTCATCTTCCTTGTTTGCCAAATAAAGAAATTAAAAACAAACAAAAAACGTTCCCTTAAATGTGTTTGTGCCCTCCCTCTCACGGGACAAAAAGACACAGTTACTTTATGGAAACACATATGCCTATAATTATTATCAACAGAGAAGTGTGTTTAAAAAAATCGCTCACTTGCAAGCTACACTAACTCGCCATTATGATTTTAAACATATTTATTTGACGAATGTGCAGCTCCCAAACGTCAGGCGAAGAAGGGCGGAAGGCAGGTAGATCCTATATTCAATATAAAATAAGCTTAAAACCGCCCGCTCGCTAAAAATAAAATTGACATCGCCTTAAGTATGAATGTGCCCGACCCCGGCGTCCTGCGGCAAGAAAACTTTGTTTGATACTCATTATTGTTTAAAATAATTCTTTGGTTTAAAACGCTAGCTCGCCGGTTTATGGTATGAACATGCTCATTTAATTAAGGAGGGACATTAAGCAGGAAGATGCTATTCAATATTAATGATGAGTCTACATTTTTAGCTCTCTTGTTTGTCTCTCTCTCAAGCGCGTAGCGAGAATTTCATTTTAGGGGGGCGGTAGAGAGCACGCGAAGTGTGCGAATCACTCACAGAGCGCGCGAAGCGCGGAAGCTTTGACATTTCATTAAATTATTAGAGAAAGAAGACGATTCGTTGTACCGTTCTCGACTCTTAATCCTTGTTTGAATCAAGTTACCCTTCCTCCGCGCGTAGCGCGTAAGTTCTGACGTTTCATTAAATTATTAAAGAAAGAAGATGATTCGTTGTACCGTTCTTGACTCTTAATCCTTGTCTGAATTCAGTTTTCCCCCTCCCGCTCAAAGCGTGGAAGCTTTGACGTTTCATTAAATTATTATGACGTGATGACAAGACGTGGTCCTCAACCAACAACTTGAAACTTAATGAAGCGAAAACTGAAATGCTGCAAGATGCTAGGTTTAGGCAGCAGTCTGATGATTTTCCCCCTTTGGATCTTTCTTGAGTTTGTGTACAGAAGTCAGAGTGTATACGAGATCTTGGTGTAACTTTCGACAAGCACCTCTCCCTTGCTCAACATATACGCAATAAGTGCAGGACAGCTTCGTGGGGGAATAGCTAGGATTGGTAGAATCCGAAAGTATCTCGACAATCCTTCTACGTAAAAAATTATCCATGCATTCGTGTCATCTCACCTCGATTATTGTAATAGCCTTCTAGCCGGTCTACCTCAATCCCCTTCAGCACATCCAGGATACTGCCGCTAGACTAGTCATACGTACCAAGAAATCTGAACACATTACCCGATCATCCAGTCTCTTCATTAGCTACCGACACAGGAACGCATTGTCTTCGAAATCCTCCTCCTTGTCTACAAAGCTATCCACAACCAAGTCCCCTCATACCTACAGAACCTCATCTCACTCCGATCCTCATTACCTTCTCTGCATCTCGACGTTTACGCTCCCTTGCTACTGCCCACCTTCAACTGCTACCTGGATCTCGCACCAAGACACGCTACGGAGACCGTTCATTCACAGTTATTGCCTCCAAGTTATGGAATAATCTCCCCATTTATATACGAGAAGTCCCTACATTAGAATCATTTAAGTCTCTCTTGAAAACCCACCTCTTTCCATAATTGTGATTACCCTCCCCCTCCCCAAGTTATTTATTTTAAGAGTACTTAATACTACCTTGCGGTTTAATGATATTTCAATTTCTATTGGATAATGTTGTATTTGAGATGCATAATTATTATATTGAATATAATAATTTGTATTTAAGTTGTATTTGAATATTTCACATGGTTTATGATAAATCTGATTCCATATCTGGTTTATTTATAATTTCAATTAATTTTGACGCAGTCCTTATTTTACAGTTAAGTGATATTGCAGTTTAATGATATTGTAATTTCTATTGCATAATGTTGTATGGTATGTATTTTAAGATGCATAATTGTTATATTGAATATAATGATTTGCATTTAAGTTGTATTTTAATATTTCACAAGGTTTATTATAATTCTGAGTCCATATCTGGTTTATTTATATATTTCAATCAATTCCGATTCAAAAAATTCCATTTTTCTTTGCCGTTTACTTGTAATTCACTGTTTTTATCATGTTTCTTAGTATTTCTCACTTTTCCTTCCTAATCTTTTCTTCTTTCTGTTGCGCTTAGAAAAATTGTATTAAGCGCATTATAAATGTAATGTATTATTATTATTATTATTATAAAAAGAAAACGATTCGTTGTACCGTTCTCGACTCTAAATCCTTGTCTGAATTCAGTTCCCCCCCCCCCTTCCCGCGCGAAGCGCGGAAACTTTGACGTTTCATTAAATTATTAGAGAAAGAAGACGATTCGTTGTACCGTTCTCGACCCTTAATCCTTTTCTTCCTACGTCCTCTTCCTTTCTCCTTTCTTCTTTTTTTTTGGGGGGGGGGGGGGGCGACCGCCCCTACCGCCCGTTGGCTACGCGCCTGCTCTCTTTCTCGCTATATAAAAAGGGAATAAATATAACCTTAAATAATATTGTACCCAAGAAAAAGAAAGAAACTATACATTTTGTTGAAAGAAGGTCGACTCAAGGTTGAGAAAAGTTTATCTATTACTTAAAAGCTTCTGCAACCCCTCCCCCCCCCCCGAAAAAGGGGATTGCGTCTTTCGCAAAGGTTTATCATTTTTTCCAATCAGTGTCTCCTGATCGGGAAATTAAAACGCACCCCCCTTTTCAAAATGCTGACTACGGCCCTGAATAACAGCAACAAAACAAATCACACAAAGCAAAAACAATCCCCCATGAAAGAAATAATGTCGGCGGAGCAATTGTTGGCGGAGCAAATGTCGGCGGAGAAAATGTCGGCGGAGCAAATGTCGGCGGAGCATTTGACGTAGCAAATTTCGCGGAGCAATTGTCGCTTTTTGCAGAGCATTTGTCGGCGGAGCAATCATCGGCGGAGCATGTGTCATGGATTTTCCCCTCCAGGGCACTTCCCTGCACAATTTTAAAGAAAACTATACGTTTTCCTCTGACAGGCAGAAGAAATATTTGTGTCATAATTAACGTGGGAGTACAGAATTTTCTCCCTAGCTGGTTATAATTATGTTCTTAATTTGTGTTATGTATTTAAATACACCATAGCAGGGAAAAGAAATCAACATAGTGAGACCAATTACTGGGGCCCAGCTGTGCGTGGAGCAAATGCTCTCACATGGCAATAAATAATCATCTTGTTTATTTAGATTTAAAAAAGAACATACTGCAAATATGTGAATGATAGGTTGAGCGAAGCGTATTGCATGGATTTGCATTATGATAATGCAATTGCGATAATTGTAGCACACATTGGTGAAATATAATGTGGACGTTTAATTGGTGGTCAGTCACTGACGTTGCCTGTAAACTGGTGACTAGTAAAAAATAGACAGCACAGGAAAGGTCATGCATGCTGGATTTTGTTGAACAAAATTCCTTTTTTAGAGGTAGTGTTAAGGTATGTGAATTAGTAATTTGATTTTTCAAATTGTGTAAAGTGTTAATTATCAAGAATAACAAACATATGCAGTTTAGAAGTTAAAAGATTTCAAAGTTCTTGCAATAGTGCATTTGTTCAAAGAGAAAACCATATTGCTACGGTTGTTTCATTTTTGCTCGCTAAACCATTGCCAGCACATACGTAGCTAGTTCGACGGCACTACCAAACTAGAATGTTAAAGATAAAGACCAGTTATGGTCATGCGATTGCATTGTGAAAGAAACGTTGTGGAATCGATCAGAAAAGGTTGATCATCTAGCATATAAGTATTGGTGTGTACTGCAAGGTTCTGGAATCATCAAAATGATAAGAAATTTGGCCGAGTCTTCGTAAATTACAGGCACTGTACACAGAAAGATATGGGACTACGCACACGTGCGCGACACGTGCGTTTATCTCTCACAGTCCAATAGATAAAATAATTTACCAAATATATCAATTAGTAGGCGGTTTCCCGGCAACATTTTTATCATGTATTAGTCAAAACA